GGTGCGCCGTGGGGAGCCCGGAACCCACGGCCGCCGGGCTGGACCCCGAGCCCCCACTCCAGTGCTGGGGCCGAGCGGTCCTGTGGGTCCCAAGGCCCTGCTGTGCCCCCAGCGTGGGCTGGGAGATGTGTCGGGTGGCGGGGAGCTGTGCTCTGTGCGCCAACGCACGGCTTTGCCCAGCCCGGTGCCCCCGGCCCGGCGCTCTGCCCACGGCCCCCCCTCCAGCTGCGGGATGCCCTGGGCAGCAGCCCCCGGTGCCCGCAGCCCTTGGAGGGACCTGCCTGTCCCCGCAGCTCACGGAGCGCATGGACCTGCCGCGGGAGGCCTGGAGCGGCTGCAGAGCCGGGTGCAGGACCCCCCCACAGCTCGGGGCGACGCCACCCACCTGCGCGAGCAGCTGCGCGAGAACAGCCTGGCCCTGGGCGAGCTGGAGAAGCTGGGGGCGGCGCTGGAGACCGTGCGTGTGCAGGGCACCGAGCTGCTGGCTGGCATGCAGGCCGCCCAGCCCAATGCCGCAGCCACAGGTACCAACCCGCGGCTGCCCGGGTGCACTGCGTTCTCACATACATGTGCACACAGCAGCACTACCCAGGGGGTGCTTCTTGCCACGTGCGTGTGTGCACACACTTGCCCACACAGTTCCTGCAGCCCCGTGGCAGCGCTGCCCAGGGGCATAGTCCATGCCACATCTATGTGCACACATATTCTCACATGTTCTCAGCAGTGCCTAGGGGGGCACTCCATATGACACACATGTGCACACATATGCATACACAGCACCTGCAGCCCCACAGCAGCAGTGCCTGGGGTGTGCACCATGCCATACATCTATGCATGCACACCTGGTGCCTGCAGCCCCCTGGCAGCACTGTCCAGGCAAGTACTCCATGCCAACCACATGTGTACATACGCAGGCACATGCAACACTGCAGCCCCATGGCAACACTGCCCTGCCAACCATGTATGCACACTCATGTGGCACCTGCAGCCCCACGGCAGCACTGCCCAGGGGTGTAGTCCATGACACACGTATGCACACACGCAGCACCTGCACCCACATGGCAGCACTGCCCAGGCGTGTAATCCATACCAACCACGAGTGCTCACTTGTGCTCATGCAGCACAGGCGTGTGCCCAGAGGACTCGTGCCCCACGGGCACCGCATGGCGAGGGCTCCCTTCCTGCCCCTGTGGTGACCCCTGCCCCCCGTCTGAGAGGAGAGCCTGGGACCAGCCCCCCGAGCCCCTAGCAGGGACGTGTGGCCAGGGTGCTGGGGCAGCAGCGGGGCCTTGGCCTTGCCGTGGCTGCCTCTCAGCCCCTGCCCCCTCCGGCCCTGCAGCCATCCCGGAGCGCACGGAGCAGCTGCTGAGCCAGTGGCGCAGCCTGCGCGGGCAGTGCCAGGAGCGCGAGCGCTGGCTGCGGGGGCTGCTGGTGCTGGCCGAGCGCTTCTGGCAGGGGCTGGCCGACCTGGCGCTCAGCCTCGGCGACACGCAGCAGGCCGTGCTGGACCTGGAGGACGCCGGCCCCGAGCCCGAAGCCGTGCGTGCGCAGCTCGGCGCCATGCAGGTGCGTGGGGCGGGTCC